GCATCGTCACGCAGATTGACGCCAACGTCATGCGGAGGCACGAGGAACGACCGACCCTGGTAGTCGTAAGGGTCCTTGACTACAAAAAATAAACGCTGCTTCAACATACCGGCCCAAGCTTCAATGCGCGCATACTGTGCAGGACTGACTTTTCCTCGATGCCTTCTTCGCGCGTGATCTTGCTGATCTTCTTCCGTTTACGAAGAAACTCTTCGATGCACTTCATCGTCTCCGGATCAGGTTTTGCACTTCGGTTCTCATCCTCAAATGCCGCCCAAGGTCCGGTGAATCCCTCAACATCGGCAGGATCCATATTTTTCAATTTCTTCCGCTTCGCTGCGTCTTTCTTCTTCACCGGTTCGAACACGGTCACTCCTGTGAAAAGCAATCAGAATTCATATGAAATGCCTACGATGTATGTGTGTACCTCCGGTGGTCTCCGCAGCAGCCACGTTGCCAACGTAATGTTTAGGACCGCTGTCTGCCGATGGGTCTTTTGCATACCCTACAAACATCGACCGTACAGAAACACATTAGAACAAAATCGCCGTTGAATAATCTGTTTACCAAAGCTGTCGAACGTCCGTCTTTCTGCCTCGAAGTGAAAATCATTGAAATGCGCGTTCTCAACGAAGCCGGTCAGAATGTTCTTAGACAGAAGGCATTGCTCGCTTTTAAACGGATTATCGGGTCCCACCTGAAGCACAGCAATTTCTGCAACCGGCATAAAAGCAGCAACAAGTATGCGAATCCAACTCAGTGCCAGATCAATAAGGTGAGTCGGCAACGACAAAAGTAAAAGTGCTTATGCCAACGAGAAGTGCAGAAAAAAGGACGTAACTAAGTAAGAACACAGACTTACCACAGGGGCAAATAGTTCCTCGAATTTCGGATTAAAATCAAGTTCCTTCTTAGTCAAATCAACGTGACGAATCGCGAAAGCATTTGGCTGAATAGGAACAGAGTAAAATGAAATCTTTATCGTATCTGTCGCGAAGCGAATACCTTCTCCAGCACTTCTGGAGCCGAATTTGCAGTTTTCATCTGCGAGGTGGACGGAACGCATAAGTGAAGGGTCTCATCAGATGTTCCCGCTGTATCTAATGTATTTTGGTTAGCCGAATTTTCGCCCAGATCATCTGGAGTGTCCTCCTCGTCAGACTGAACTCCATAGGTCTTGAGGAGCGTCAGGCTTTCCATACCGCTATGGCGACAACAAAAATTACCACCAATTGCATGTAACAGCAAATTAACTGAAATATTAAACTTCAAAGGTTCAGCCGCTTTCAACACATTTATATACACACGTGACGCATCATGAATATCAGAAGGTAACTACGGCAACAATGCTCTTATTTTACAACTAGCGAGACACGCTGCACCCTGACTGTGCGTATAAATATTAAGCACAATCAGAGCTTCCCTCAGAAGCCCCTGACGTAAACTGCTCCACCACATTCAGGGATAAATGCAGAATGCTGCCATCCGTCCGATAACTTTTCGTACACTTCAAATAAGGAATACATATGAGTTTATTAAAACTAGACTAAGCATATAGTCGAAGCATTGGTCGCATTCTCAGGCATTTCGAACAAGTAAAGATAAACTTAATCACGCCTACACGGAAAAGGCCGTAACAGAAAGCCATTTGCAGCCATCTTGCCAATTTTTTTGATACTTGCCTATAAATAGTTTCAGTTCTTAATCTCTCAGCTACCTAAAAAATAAATTCATTGGCGAATCAGTACAAATAACTTGGCGTAACCTAAATTTTAAAATATGTCAAAATTATAAAATCAAAAAATTACACTAAAGGTTATTGGCATTAAACATCGGGCAAAAGCATCCGTTGCAAACCTTCTTGAACTAGAAAGAGTAGCTATGTTTACTGTAATCTGAGGCAAAAATATTATAAGCAGCAAGGCTGCCACAACTGACAGCTGGATATGCTTGAAACTGTGTTTCTGAAATGAAACTGACAGAAATAACTAGGAGAAGTAACGGATAGTGGTAATAACTACAGACAAACATTTTTCAACTAATGAGCCAATAATTATGGCTGAAAGTGTTGCCCCTACAAATTAAAAATACCTTTAAGCGCTTATTAGCCAAAGTAAACAGGATAGATCGATAAGCTGCTATTTCGTCACATAAGCGCAAGCACACGTCATCATCATCGGATGCACATGAACTCGTGCCTACAGGCTTGGAATGTCGCTCAGACTTATACGCAGTATAACAGCGAGTGACAATTAACGAACGGATAGATGCAAAGGCATCCTCGTTGCTTACCAGCAATCTCTCTAACAAGTACGTGTACCTATCAGTGTCGGCGGAAGCCCATTTTTATTACGGATTATGTACCGTAGCAGTGTAGATTTTCTAATACACCTATCTTGGAGACTCCGCCGTTGCTGTTCCCAAAAGCGAATGAGAAACAAGGGCTGGGAATTGTGGCGAGGTTTCATGCAAAACCTAGATACCTGCCCTCCCCACGGTACTGCCATCACGTATATACCGCTCAGTCGCCGTACATACCGGCTCAATCGTTGCCCAGGTTACCAAAAATCGCGGAAGCTGTTGGGGCACCAAGGAAGATTGTGAAACGTCGGCGATCAGAACCTGCTTCATCCATTCTGGCAGATGGGGGCATAGCAGCACGGCGACACCACTGAAAATGGACAAAAAACGTAGATACCAATCAGCCACGGACCCACTACCCATTCTGAAACGAGTAAACAGACCGTGCCAATATGGCACGTCATATAACCTTCCATGGGAAAGACACCGAGAGCAAAGTCTACAGTCAGAAGTTTGAACATCACCTCTCTCAGAGGAAAAGAGCAGGAGCTACTTGATGAGGCCGTAAGGTACCAACCCGACAAAATTGGACTCTTGTCAACGAAGCGCCAATGCTCTGAAATTTTGAACCTCTGCGGGTGGAAGCTATGTGTCGACGACGGCAGCCGCTCAACCTGGCTGACAGAATCATTGAATGGAAACATGTCAGCGGAAGAAAGGCAATCCTCTGACTGAAACTACAACAGGCTAAAATTTTTACCTTCTTATACGTCTATGTGCCCAATTAAGAGGGAGAATATGTCCTTCCTTGAGGAAGTGGAGTGTGCTCTTTCCGAAATGCCGAATACAGAGTCCCTCATACAGATGGGCGATTTTAATGCGCACGTCAGAGTAGACGTCGAAAAGTGGAACGGCGTGATTGGGAAAAACGATCCTAGCGACCTCAACAATAACGGCATGAAGTTGTTGCGGTTTTGTGCAAACAACGACTTATGAACACCTTCTTCGAGCATCGAAGCGTACATCAATGTACTTGGAACAGGGAAGCTTGAGCACAAAGTCAATCGATTTGATAATCGTATCGTCTAACTTACGACGCTGAATAAGGCATGTTCGCGTTAAGAGAGATGCACTACTATCAACCAGTCATCACGCTGCTGTTAGTACTCTCTGCTATAAAAACGACGGAGTTCCGTGGAAAGACCTGGCGGCAGATGCAACCAGAGAATCAAATAGGAAACATCTTCTGCGAATAAGGCCGCTGAGGAGTTGCTGGAAATAGTCTACCTTTTGAGGCGTTTCTTTTGACCTGCCAAAGGAACATCCTTAAAGACATGAATAAGGACAGACCGAGAAGCTTGCTTATCTGTCAACTGTCATACCTCTTTGAACATTGCTCTCCAAACACCCTCTCTCGCTGCCTTATGGCTTCCTGATTACCCCGCCCCATCCAAAGTTTTATGTCCTGCTTGTTGATCTGGTTGACTGAATGACCAATACAGCACTGAGCTGCCTGGCGTTGCAAGTACTCCTTCCTGCCTGATTCCTTTGTACTCTAAGGGCTAGGATGTTCTCTGTAACCCAAGGCAGTTTGGCTATTCGCTTCCTGACTCAAACTAGACTTTTCATTGTGGAAATTCCGCATTCTTTGAAGTCGGTGTAAACTTCATTTACCCTGCCCCTTGCCAACTAGGCATTAATGGCCACATTGAGAAACCTTCACCTCCTTTTGGTAAGCCGAGCACACCATACTTTAGCCTGTCTACGCTCAGCAGCTAATATTTCAACCAGACCGAGTCGATGCAACATGGCTAATTTTAGACGAAGTTCCACTACGACTATAAGGTGATCAGACGAAATGCAGTCCTCCTCCCAGGGATGCGAGTTTCCGCGACCGCCAGCACATCGGGTTTGTACCGACGGGTCCTACGGCAGATATCATCTAACCTATCATCGCTAGACTAATAATAAACGTTCCAGCAAGCAACACGACGCTTTTTGTAGTGTTGACTGCTGGAATCACGGATTTTTTTGTTCCTAGCTGCAAGGTACGCTGCGAGCGGGAACAGAGGGAACAATAAATTCATCGACGTGCGGGGCCAAGGTTTCGGCTGCTGTTACCAGCCGTTCTTAACTGCAAACAGTACAGACTGTTTTACTGAAACATAATTCATTTATACTGTTTACAGTTGAGAAAGGTTGGTAACATAAGCCGAAACCCTGGTCCTGAAGCAAAACCACTGCGCAGCGTTAATTTGAATAAAGCCATATCTTACTCAGGAATAATACCAAAGTACCTAAATGCATAATCTTTTCTGCTTACTGTTCATACTGTTCTGCTTACCATTCGATTCTACACTACCACAGTAAAAGACAGAGGAGCGTAAAGACTCAGCATTCCTTTCAGAAAAACGCAACACCACCTAACGAATGACATTCTTTTCCAGGCTAGAGGCCTCACTACATGTGGACGCCAAATAAAAGAGACTGGTTCCGTTAGAAAAGTCTTCTGTGCACGATCCAGTTTCCTCGGGCGCTGGAAACTTCTTGAGCGGGAACTAAAGTACGTCAAACGTCAGTACGTCGTTGATATGGAAGTCAGCAAACAACATGGATGAATGTAGGAGCAGATCTGAGTTCGGAGTAGAACTATTATTTCTAGGATGCGGTAACTGGTGCCCTTCAGCAAGTGGTGAAAAACTGCGAATAGTAGCGGGGGTGATCACATACCGAAGAGGTTCTTTTATTTCAACAAAAAAAAATCACTTAGAGAAAGAATGTCTACGGCTTGAAACTTCCTTGGTTAAACATTTTGCGGATCGGACGCAGCTGATCAGAGCTAATTTCTACTTCAACCGCGGCAGCGAACACTAATGGGTAAAAATCCGTGTCAATATTTTAAACATTTTATGCGTCACTAAACTGGACAACTCTACTGTTCAAACTCCGCCAGGGTTAGACGATGATAGCATTAATAACAGCTATTAGCATCGAGAAAACTCAAGCACTTCAAATACAATGAATGTTTAAACATAAGAAAGAAGGCTATCCTTAAAAACAAATAATACAAATATGTAAGTGAAAAAAGTACAACTATCCTCGAAAATTCATATCGATGATATTAACGGAACTCCGTCATGGCCGACCCCAAGCCCGGATGAGAAAGGAGGAGGGTTGGAGACCGTGGCAAGCCTCCGTAAAATTCAGCTACC